CAAGGGAGTTTTGGGGTCTGGTTCAGTCTTACCCCAAACTCTGTAGCTCTGCTGCTGGCTGTCTCTCTCTCTCCCTTTCCAGGAGTCCTTTCTGCAATGCTGCATGTTTCTGTTGCTTCTCCGGTTCAGGTCTTGTCTGTCCTGGCTCTGTGCCACCGTTTCTCTGGTCAGTGCCAGCTGCTGCTCTGCGCCCATGGAGAAAACATCTCCCGGCATAACTACAAATGCTTAGTCCAGTCTAACACTGTTCCAAGTCTCTGTAGCCCCCAACTGGGGCTGGGGGGGGGCCTGGAGGCCCCGAGGGGCTCAGAGCCCCTTCCTCGTGGCTCTACAACATGGCCACCTCTTCTCCAATAACCCAAACTACCACTCATCTCTTCCGTTGAGCTTGTGATATGTTTACATTTTTGCAGGAGCGCCCATTGGACAGAACTTCAAAACTTCCAGGGGTTTCCACCCCTTGGGGTCTACCACTTTTCAGCCTCTGGGGGAAAAACCAAGGTCCAAACCACCACAACAAGTAATTAATTAAGGAGCAGAAGAGTCAGCAGTATTGAGTTTTCTTCCCTCGGGTCAAGCACTGGAGGATCACAGAATGGCTGAGGTGGGAAGAGATCTCTGGAGATCAGAGTATGACTCTCTGCCAACCCAGAAAACCTATAGCCAGCGGCCCAGGACTTTGTCCAGATGGACTCTGAATAACTCCAATATGGCAAAAATATGATTTTGGAGAAATTTTTATAGATTTAAATAGTAACAATATAGGAGGTTACACTCCTCTTCCACTTTGCAAAAGAGGCAAACATCATAACACAAATGATTGATTGTTCATTTCATACTGCCAATTCATTAGTAAAACATATACCATGGGGTATTTGCCAATTGAGCAAGTTTAAAAAGAAAAAGTAAACCAAGGTGCAGGTACCACTTTGACATGTAGACAGCGTAGATTTTTTAAATTATTTTTACGTGCCTGGCTACATTTTGAAAATATATATCATCTGACAATAAGAGCAAACAAGAAAGCAGAAGGCAGTATTACACATAGCTAGAGATTCATGGAACCAACAAAAAAAAAAACAAAAAAGAAACCAGGTACTTTTTAATTACATATGGAAAGATCTGTCTCAAAAAAAAAAATCAAAAAAACCCAGTCACAACAAAACCCCGAAACCTAACAAAACTCTCTTAATTTCATACTGAAAGAAGCTCCCCCTAAAGAAACCTGTTCTGCTTACACACACACCCCCCAAAGGAAGAGTTCTGTTCTTACAGAGCAGAGTGACAACCCTAGCTAAGAAGAAGTACACATCGCAGACTATAAGACATGTCTGTTGCTCATATTCTCCCATTGCATTCAATCCACTAAGTTTATTTTCACCTACCTTTGTTATCTGGGCTTCGGTGTTACCTTTGGAACCCAGCAAAACCATAGACAAAGCAGAAGAAATACTAAAAGGGGAAAAGAATAGATTCTGACCACTTTTCTTCTCACACAGCTTTCTTAAGAGGTCCAGGGCAAAAGTGGTATTTGCTGCACACAGGCTTGCCATGGTTTCAACCTGGCAGATAAAACACAGAACAAGAATGGATCGAATTTATTGGAACACAAAAAACCTGTTTTTCTCTTTCACATTTCCCAGCATAAACTGGCCAGCAAATGTCAGCATTAGGCTGGAAAACTATCACCTGAATGGAAAACTGATTTGGTGGCACAAGCACCTTAAACCCCATACAACTCTCTTGAGTTATTTTAGGGATTTACTGTCTGCTTTTGTATTTCAATCCCATACCTACGTAATATTACACCTTTTGAGATGATCAGGCACAACAGGATTCTGTTCAGAACTCACTGAAAGAAAGCTCTCTTGACCTCACAAAGAAAATAATTTGCCTTTATACAAACACCAGACCAAAAAGTTAGACATCACAACGGCCAAATTACAAACTCTTACCTTCTCTAAGTCTACAGATCTTCAGCTGTACCTTCAGCTTACTCCGACGTGTGCACGCTGTGTTTTAAACAGCTGGGCTGGGAGAAGTCAGCAGAATGGCTTGTCCTACAAGATAAAAAAGGAAAGAAAAAAAAACTAATTTCATCAGCATGACAGATTACAGCAAAGATTACAGCAATTTCCTACTGTAGTATAAAGAAAAAATCAAAGTCCATTTCAGTTCCATTTTATTGCCTACAACACGGAAACACACACAAGAAAAAACTTGGTGTCTGTGGCAGTTAACTTGAGATTAAACCACCCACCTATAAAAAGAGCAATAAATACTAGAACGCTGAGTTAACCACAGATAAGTATCATGAATCATAAGAGAGCAGCTGGTAGTAAATGTCTTCATGTTTTGTTCTTCCCTTAAGGCAGGGCCTACTGTTTATACGTTGCCAAAAAATACAAAACCAACACCTTATTCATAATACTTATTAATTATCTCAGATAACTAGGTGAAAAGTGCAAGTTTCTGCATGCATGGTTTTCCACCCAAGAAAATTTCTTGCTAGGAGCTTCACTATAAGCAGTAGCAATTTTCTCCTGTTTCTCTTCTCCCATAACTGAAAAAAACGCTAACCAAACAAAAAAACCAAGCAAGCTTAGAGGGAAAGAATCCTCCAATTGTGTCTGAAACATGTAACTTAAGTACTTTATAGCGTAAGTAGGAGACACATAGTGTTCATGTTAGTTACAGTGAAAACTGGAATTTTCCTAATATCCCAATACCTGCGGATTGCTAGCAATAAAGTTTTTTGACCTCCAGGTCAAAGCACACAGGAATAGTGACAGCAGCAAACAGTTATTTCCTAAAAAGTTTGCGCAGGGCTTCCATGACAAGCAAGAATTTACAGACAAAAGGATGGTTGCATCACACTATTTGCCAGCTTCAAAACCAGCGCATTTAACCAAATTATAAGTAATATTGCAATAGCTGGGACAAACGATTAGGAGTTATATCTGTGCAGTTAACTATGCTTTCTCTGCAGCTCAGGAATACCAACACAACTACTGACATCCCTCCTATCAGAGCAGTTTTGGAGACAACACACAGTGACTGCACTTTAAGGAACTTATAAGTACATATTTGTCAATCAATTGTAAACTGTTTGCGGCAAAACCCTCAGTGATCAGAAGGTTTGCTGACAGCAACTCATTCCTCACTCTGGTTTCCCCTTGGGCTCTGCAGGTCAGCAGTAAGGCACTTGTGCTGATGCTCGTTTCTGCATGCCTGGACCCTGTGTGTTCCTACCAGTATGAATTAGAAGCATTTGTCTCAGCAATCAACACCTATGCTTTAGAACAGTCTTTATGGACCAAAAAGCTGTATCTAGGTTAGACAGCACACACTGCAATGCGGGGCCATGGGGGAACCCGGTCGGAGCAGGGTGCAGCTCTTCTCCAGCCTGCAGCCCATGAGACATTTCCCACGAAGACTGTGACATGGATCACCGTCCAGTGTACAAGGACCTTCCCCACCTTCTGTCAGCTGCCTCAGAGGAGCCACAAGCCGACTATTTCAAACACAGAGAAAACTGCGTCTGCGGTATGGAGGCCCCTTTTCCCACCCTCTGAACCAAAGCAAGCTTCCTTGAGAAACAGGGCTTCATTTTAGGATTTGGAGAGTTGGGAGCGATGTTAAAACATCTGCAGGGTAAGACCACTGACAGTTTCTGGTAATGGCTCTTCCCAACACACCTGTCCAGGGGCAGGCGGTGGGATGCGTGGGAGGACACAGCCCAACCCCGCCAGCTCTTGGCCCCTGTGCCTCAGCAGGAGTGGAAAGGGGTAGGGAGCAGCCTGACACTGACCCAGCAAGCTGAGGCACAAGAAGCCTAGGGTTTGGCACTCCCTAGGGCGAAGAGTCCCTCCTCCGCCCCCGCCCCGGGTTTGGCACCGCGGGGCAGACGTTTCAGCTCGGCATCGCCGCGGTGCCCCCGTCGCTCCCACACACAAGAAGCGCTCCCGGCGCTCCGCCGCGGCTCCAGCTGGCAAGAAGCACCGGTGTGTAGAAAACCACCGGTGTGTAGAAAACCACAAGGAAAGCAATGCCATACAGCACTACTTGTTGGTTTGGTTTTCTTTTTAAGGAAAAAAAAGGGGGAGGGGGAAGGGGAAAGGGGGGAAGAAAAAAAAAAAAAGACAAAAACCCTAAAACCAACAAACGCAAGCGCAAGCTTCCCGCAGAAAACCTTCAGGACAACGGAGCCGCCGCACTCACCCCGCCGGCCTCCGCGCTCCCTTTTCCCGGAAGCAGAGCCGAGCAGAGGGAGCGGAGCGCGGCCCCTCCCGGGATTCAGCCGGCGGCAGCGACACTCCGCCCTTGGCCGCGCCAACAGCGCGGGGCCGCAGCCCCTCCCGACAAAATGGCGGCCGTACCGCGCGTCGGCTGCCTCGAGAGCCGCCCCGCTCCGAGCCTTTGCAGCCAGTGATTTTCCATCTCTGCCTCCCTCTCGTGGCAGAGCGTACAGAAAACACCCCCAGTCTGTGAATGGTTAATTATTATTATTATTGTTATTTATTTGTGAAGCAGGGGTGGTTCTGAGCAAAAGTCAGCTATTGCTGTAGCCAGAGACCGTACAGGCTTAACCCTTCCTCGCATTTCCGAGGTCTGAGTGAGGCAAATAGCCCTTATAGAGGTGTGGGGTTTTTTATTTTATTATTTTATTTATTTTATTTTATTTTATTTTATTTTATTTTATTAAAAGGAATCTGTGGGGTGACGTTAGGTTAATTGGGAGCTGATGAAGACTTAGAGCTGGGACGTGGAAGGAAAGCAAGGGTGAGAGTTGGCAGGGTTTACCTCCAGCTGTAGCACAAGAACCTAAAGGGCTAGAAGGTTTAAGTGTTAGAAAACGATTGGGTCTAATTGCTGCAGGGTGGGATCAGGGGCCCTGTTATGAGGGTGAGGGGATGGACTTTACTAAAATACGTTTGTACACACTGCTGAGATGGGGAGGGATAGAAATGCCATAGCTAATAGTGATGAGGACAGAGCTACCGATGATGGCCTGATCTGAATGAGAATCAGGATTGCTTGCTGGATACAAAGCATCTGCACTCCCCTTTGCACTGCACTGATTGCCTCTTTAGGGTAGGAGGGAAGAGGAGCTGTGCCTCAGGCCCCAGAGTGTCTGGCCTGATGGAGAGAGTTCAAGTTCTGCTCCCCCCGGGTTGCAGAAAGAGTTCAAGGTTTGGTATTTGCTTCTCTGCTAGCAAGCAAGCCTTACCTGCTCTGCAGGGCAAGGAGTAACTGACTAGGGTGAGCAGAGTCTGCCGAAGAAGAGCATGGTTTGGGATTTGGTGTGTCTGATGAAGAAGATAAAAGGGTGGTCAGCTTTAAAAGTCATTGTTGGTGCTTTTGATCTCATCACCAAGACACCTGTGGCAGCTGCTGCCTCAGTAACCTTCTTCATTGACCTCCACAAAAGCTTTGTGAATTACTTGTGAGATGAAAAGATCCTTCTTCGCTGACATCCCTGTGAAATCAGCCTAAACTGGGTCAAAAGCATTTTGTATCCCCATGCTGCTCAAAGGGGATTTAAGGTCATAATTCTCTTCTAGCTTCAACTTGGGCAGGTACAAATCCACTTCAGCTTTCATCATATTGGCTGATTTGGTCCATTCAGCCAATTTCTCATAGGTCAGCTCTCTTTCCACCTGCAGTGAGTTGGGGAAGAAAATAGTTGGAATGTGAAGGACAGAGACAAGATATGCACAGACCAGTGTCTTAATGCTCATCAAGAACATGTAAAACAAAACCGAGCTACCAGCAGTGAGTACAAATGGAACGTGCACCATATTCACAGGGCATGATCCTGCAAAGTGCCAAGTGACTTATGCTCCTGTTTATTTTCTTAAAGGTGGTGAGATTTATTTGCTTCATTAAACTGAAAGCAAAAATTTAAAAACAAGTATGAGACTCAGCAGCATTTGGATACCCAGGACCCTTTCCTTTGGACAGTATTGCATACACCCTCTTCTCAAAGTCTTTGGGATCTTTATAAAAAGTCGGCATAGGCACATGTGCTAACTACCTACCAGCTGAATTCCATGTAATATATTTCTTAATTTAAAGTAAAGGAGTTAGCTTTGATAAGCAAGTAACTACTGTTAAGGGTTTCATGTTTTCTCCGAAAGGTTGTGTTATTTGAAGCGAGAGCCTTGATGGAGGGGAAAAAAGTGTTGACTTCCTTCCTTCCAGGCAATACTGATTGTCACACTGAAACATATTTTCTGTGACCTGTGCTGGCTTTTCCTCTTCCCCAAGCTGTATAGGACTGGATTACTAAATGGAATTGGACTGCTCAATAAACTTGTGAATTCCTGTGCTGTGTTATGTTCACAGAGCTGTTACTAAGTGCTAAAGTTTTATCTGTTTGCAGGCCTCGCTATTCTCCCTGTGAATTAAACGCTCTCTGGGCACCAATGTATTAGGTTTGTGTGGTAAGGTTTTGGTAGCAGGAAAGCTGCGGAGATGACTTCTGTGAGGAGACATCAGAAGCTGCCTTTGTGTCAGGCAGAGACAGTTCCAGCTGGCTCCAAGGCAGACCTGCTACTGTCCAAATCTGAGCCAGTCAGGGACACTGGTAGTGCCTCTGGGCACTAAGAATGGGCAAAAACTGCTGGACAAAAGCAACTGGGAGAGCCAAGTGAGAAAATGTGAGAGGAACAATTCTGCAGACACCAGGGTCGGTGAGGAAGGAGGGGGAGGAGGCACTCCAGGTGCTGGAGCTGAGATTCCCCTGCAGCCCATGGTGAAGACCATGGTGGTACTAATATCCACCCTGCAGCCTGTAGATGACCCCATGCTGGAACAGGTGGATGTGCCCTGAAGAAAGCTGCAACCCATGGAGAAGCCATGCTAGAGCGTGGCACTGTAGAGAGGAGCCCATGCAGGAGCAGGTTTTCTGGCATCACCTGTGACCCTGCAGTGGACCCATGCTGGAGCAGCCCATTCCTAAGGACTGCACCCCAGAGAAAGAACCCATACTGGAGCAGTTCTTGAAAAACTGCAGACTATGGGAAGGACCCACATTGGATGTGAAGGACTGTATCCCATGATTGGGCCTCCACACTTGGGCAAGGAAAACGTGTGAGGAGGAGGGAGTGGCAGAGAGAACACATGATGAGCTAACTGTAACCCCCATTCCCAGTCTGCCTGCACTGCTTTGGGGCACAGCTGGAAGAATCAGGAGTGAAGTTGATCCTGTTAGGAAGGGAGGAGTTGGGGGAAGGTGCTATATATTTGACTTTATTTCTCATTAACCTACTCTGATTAATTGGCAATAAATTAAATTCATTTATCTAAGTTGAGCCTGTTTTGACCATAAGTGTAATCGGTAAGTGATCTACCTGTCCTTTTCCTGACCCATGATCTTTTCATCCTATTTTTCTCCCCCTGCCCTGTTGAGTAGGGGGAGTGATAGAGAGTCTTGATGGGCACCTGGTGGCCAGCCAAGGTGACCCACCGCAGCCATCTGCCATGATGGATCCTAAAACTGCACATGTAGTGCAGTAGGTTTCGGGTACACAGTCACATCATCAGCACAATTGCTTTACTTTGCCTGGCATACAAAAGGTATTTGCACTCTTAATCCATGTCAAAGAAATGCTTGCTTCCACTGACAAATAATTTTGCTTGCTTTTGACACAGTCCAAAAATATGCATGCAGTCAGCTACTGGGAATTGTCAGCGCATGATAGTTTAAATACTGTTAGCTCAATAGTGTCCCCCCAGTTAATACTGAATAGGTCATACTCCCATACTCAGCTAAAATGACAAACTCCTGTGAAAATTCCCTGTGAAGTTTGATGCAACACCCAGGATGTGTGTGGAGAGAGCAGCTGGATCAGATCCCTTGAGCTCAGGGTCCCGAGAGCAGAAGAGAGCGTGTAAGCAATGCTTACAACTTGTGAAAAGTAACTTGGTCCCGTTTGAAAATGCGAACATGGTACTTAGAGACATTTCATCATGTCCTTAAGCTACTTAACCTACTTAGCTTACTTTAACTGTTTTCAAGTGTTTTGATACTGAGGACGTATTGATTAAAAATCCTGTTCTCATGGATATATGTAAATAAGATAATACTGACTTATTTTCAGAGTTGCTGTTCTCACTGAGTTTATACCATGTGCTCAGCTGTAAGAAGTGTTGCAGTGGCATATGAAATACAGGTTAAATATTTAGTCTTCAATAATAGTCATACTGACATATGACAACAGGCATATAGACAAGGAATTTACCTTGTTTAATCTGAAGGGCATCTCAGAAGTATTTTTCTCCAGAAATTTCTTTTCCCACTTTCCTTTGAAATAAATGGCATTTACTAAGAACAACACAGTGCGAGAATGGAGAGATCCTGCAGGCAGCAGACTCTGTATTTTCCCTTCAAAATCAGACAAACAGGACTGTTATTTGAGTGTGACTGTGTAACTTGCCAGGTTTAATTGTGACTTCTCTGTGCCTAACCCTGTTGCAAAAATGTTTGCATTTGGGAGGGTTTTTTTTAGTTGTACATTTCTATGATGTACATATGGTAAAAATGGGGTTTTAAGTATCTCTGTATCTTTTACCTGGAGAAGTTGTGTTAAAACAAGACCATCCCTGGAAGTATTCAAAGCCAGGTTGGATGGGGCTTTGAACAACTAGTGGTCTAGTGGGAAGTGTCCCGGCCCACGGCAGAGGGATTGGAACTAGATGGTCTTTATGGTTCTTTCCAAGCTAAACCAATCTATGATTCTATGAATAATTTTTTTAATATTGGAGCTTTGGTAGTAAACAGCATTGGAAAGTGGGTCAAGTGGTATAGCTTGAATGGTCTCTGAAATTGGTTGCAAGCAGCTGAATAATGCAGAAGTAAAACCCTCACTAACTGAGGACTACACAGTATCTGCCACGCATCCCTCTGAACAGCAATAATTCAAAGAGGCTACGACATAAAAAATCAAAGGAAGGACCTTGTAAGGAGCAGAAGTTAGATTTGGAGATAGGCATTCTTCAAGCTATTTAACCATACTTTGCTCATCACCTCCCTCCTCTGAGTTTCCATCTTTTGTGGAGCCTTGACTGCAAGAGCAATAAATCTGGAAATACAAATAATTTGAAAATGAGTCAAGAAAAAAAGCCATCAGAGTGATATTTACTCTCAGTTTTATTTTCAACCCATGAACTGATCTGTGCTCTGACTTGTTCTGCAGCTGTCTTAAAGTTTACAGCTTGTGACTTGGCATTGTAATAGCTTGTAATGAGCTGTAAGAACTTCTGAAAGATAGGATTTGAAAATGTATGCTTATTTAGTTAAATTTGACTTATAAAAATGTTAGAAATAATAACTTTGACAAATTAGACAATCAACTAATACATAATGTAAGAAAATAAAATTTGTTTTAGGTGAGATAACCCTTATCTTAAGGTCTGATACATTCTATACTGAATATTAAGTATGGACTGATCAAACTTCAGTCTCAAGGAAACTGTTACTTCAAATTTTTTGTGTTTGAAATCAAAGGTGCACATTTGTAATTTTGAAATATCCATGAAACAAATATTCTTCATCCTTTTTTTTAAATTTTTCAAAATGACATTTTTACGTCATTTAAATACTTTTTTCCCAGCTTTGTGACATAGCGTTCAGTACAAGGTGGAAGAATAGTCTCATATAAAGTTGAAAAAAGGCTTTTAGTTTGGTTCAGAGGTGAGGAACCTGCCAAAAGTTTGTGAGGACAATAGGGGATCGGGTATAAAGGGGAAGTTCTGGTTGAATAAAATCAAGGCAGAAAAGCAGAATTAATGTTTGCATTGCTGTCTGCTGTGAAACAATTAATGGAGATTCCCAGTAGGAAATCCCCTAGATTCTCTGTAAAGCCTAAGTACATGAGATTATGGAGAAAATGAACAATACACATTCAGAAGGACAAATTGCTAATTACTCAGGAAACCAAACACACTCCAAGATCAAAGAACAGTAATCTCATTTAAAACCACCTTCCAAGGAGCTGGAAGATGATTAATACAATGTCAGTTTTAAAAAGATTTCGAAGACACAGGTAATTACAAGCTCATGAGTCAGTATGGGGCAAATGAACAAGAATAGGTGTAGTGGGTGTATGAATTAACGTGACTTATCAGAGGAGTGTCAACAGCATTTTGTAATAGGAAATCCTAAATCAAAATCTGTTGGACTTTTGTGGAGGTGTCAGGAAGCACATGGGTAATAAGATTGAGCCATTACAGTCTTTTGGATTACCAAAAGGCATTTTGTAAGACTCCTCACCAAAGGGTGAGCATCTGTGGGGCTGCAGAGATAGGTCGTGTTTGAAAGACTGGAAAACAAGCGTAGGAGGAAATAATGTTCACAGTGAAGGGTTGTTACTACTGGAGTACCACAGGGGTATATGTGCTGGGGTGTGTGCTAAAGTATTTTTCTATAAAATCAAAATCTAAATGATTACATTAAAAAATATATATATTAACATATTCATAATTGATCCAGTGAAGTGTAAGGTATAGAAAGGGATTACTATTCTTTAGGAATGACGTCTTGAAGCTATAATGGACAGTTGCATGAAAACAAATCTGCCTAATAGTGACAAAAAGGCAAATAAAAATTTTAGAATTAGAAAGAAAGGAGTAGGCAACAAAAGAGAGGCTTCTAGCATGACACCATATAGCACTCTGGTGTGCCCCCTGTCTGAGTTCTCAATGCAGCTGTGACTTCCCCAATCTCAGGAATGCTAGAGTATATAAGATACAGAGACAGGGGATGAGGGTGACCAGAGATGTGGAGAAGCATCCTTTAGAAGATAAACTAACCAGTAACGATGCCAACAGGCAGCAAGCTCAAAAGGCACAGGCACTTCCTACAATGTGTAGTTCAGCTGTGGAAATCCTGGTGCTGAGGGCTGAAGTACATTCAAAAGACAAGTCTGCAAAGTCTCAAAACAACAGCTCGTCAAAGTCTATTAAGTAGACATGCCTTCTGGTTCACAAAGTCCCTGAGCTGCAGATCACTTGGTGACCACAGCAGATTCTGGAAAAGCGTCATTATCCAACATGCCTTTTTCTCACACACTTCCTGAACTGTTGCCCACTGCTGGAAAAAAATGGACCTCTTGTCTGTCCAAGGATAGCCATGTATGGCTGTCTTCATATTCTCACTAAAACCTCAGTGCTATCATTTGGAATTTTTTTATCATCTCTATTGATAATCCCTCTTAATGTCAACATATTCTCAAGTAAAGATGTTCAACTCACAGGTAGTAATGGGTAGGTCTTTTCCTCATACAGCCGGTTAGCACTCTTCAGCAAGTAGGTGCTTCTCCTTTTGTTGTTGACAGGTAGGAGCTTTCTGAAGCCAGAGTGGATGTTTTCAGCTCGCTCATGCTCAGGATCTTTGGAAAGAGATACCAGTTAGTATGAAGTATTTTTTTTTCTGTTGCACTTGCTGTGTTTATTTAAATTGTTCAATTTTTTTTTAATTAAAAATGAGTTTCAGGGAATTAAACACTTTTTTGTGTATGTTGCATGTTAGCAGCACTGCATATAACTGGATAAATTGTTTTCTGTCTGTAGGGCAATGATCCGTTTCTGCAGTGCAGTGTAGCCCTTTGGGGACATCAGCTGACTGTGCTTCCAGGAAGTTGAATCTCCTCATTTTGTCATGGTCAGGCCTAATTTTTAGTTTCACAAGACCTTTTAGATTCGCAAGGACCCATCAATGCAGCCTGCAGTTTTTGAGGAGGTGTTCTATTGTGATAGACACTCATGTCAGACCATGGACTTACCAACTATTCGAATTATCCCTGTTTCACACGATTTCTGCTGTTGCTGTTTGGATTTTGGAGATAGCTTGTCCTGGATGTCATTGTTGATGGTTTTAGGGAGCATGAGCTTTCTTGCCAGCTGTTGCCAGCTGTTGCTTTGCTAATGGAGGAATAAGTTGCTACCAGTCAGCTGTTCCCCGTGAGCTGCCTGGGTCTCCTCCCTCGTGTCATGTACCATGCCCTGGACACGAGACACTGAGAGTCTCTGCTACTGACTCATGGTGACCTGTCATAAGATTGGTGAGGTGACATTCCTTGCTCTGATCTTTTCTCACTCATGCTGAGACATGGGCTACTAGGAAGGACACCTAGGAAAGAATTTGGTATCCAGAGGACACAGGATAGCAGAGGCTGAGTATTGCCGTGGGATGGGAACAGAATGAAGAGGTAATAGAGTGAAATATCTGAAAGACAAGATTAGACAAACTTTGCCACAACTTATGAAGTCAGTGAGTTGCTAAAATGAATGTGAATGTAATGATTCATCTTGGAGAATCACCCTGCACCATCTAGGGAGAGAATGATATAGCCTCCTACCCCCTTTTGTTTCCAGTTTGTCTAATTTAATTTCTTTGAGCTTTCTTTTAGTTTCTATGCTGAAAAAAAAAATGGCTTGTTCAAGTTTACAAGTTTTTCAGTGTTTAGGGAGTTCCTTTGATGAAAAAGATCTGGGCAGTTTGTCCTGGTGGCAAGTCTTTGGGGAGCTGATGAGCAAGGGTGAGTTAACATGCATTACCTTAAAGGGAAATTTTGTCTACCTGATGTGTCCATGCGTAAGAAAGGTGAAAGAGTCTTTACTGGGTAGGGCTGGAGTGAGGTATGAATGCAGTAGTTGTTTTTTGCTAACACTACAGAAAGAAAAAAACCAACCTGAAGCTGATAAGAAATAGAATTGTCCAAAGCATATTAGGACAGTTGTTTTCTTGGTATTTCAACAGCCCAGCTAAAACCAAGTAAAACAGTTTTAGGGCTAATCAAAATGCTGTTAGTGTCCGAGTTCTGATTTTGAAGGCCTGAGTTCATGAGTTTACAGTAATATTACCTACTTGTTCACTTTTTCTATATAAAGTTCTTAATGAAGTGAGACAGTAGATAAGAGACTGAAAACAAGCAGATGTTAGAAGGCAAAAGCAGTAGCTGCATTGGACTATTCCATTCTCAGAGATTTTTATCTTTAAGTCTTTTGTTGTAATAAATACCATCTTTCTTTGGTCTCCCTGGAGAACGCCTTGTCTCAGATGAACCTTCTTCTCTTGCAGTCTGGTTAAAATGAAGAACCTGTGATGATGATAAATGTTCATAAAGACAGCTTGTTTGCTGGAGATAAATATGCCCAAGGGTTGTAAGTATTTTAGTTTTCTATGGTAATTCACCAGCCACGTGTAATGATAGTTAGTCTATTAAAGTTATTAAAGTTATTGAGGACAAGTTATTGAGGACCCTCCAATAAATTTCTGTAACTGTATCATTACTAAATAGATTTTAACCCCATTGACTGCTTAATAATAGATCAATATTGTGACTCAAATATGGTTTTATTTAGATAAGTGGTTAGTTTGTGCTTAGCTGCATGGATTCTATTTTCAGATCATAGCAAAACACAACAAAAAGCATAGCACAATTCAGAGTCTTACTAACATGACATAAATGTAAAACTGCATTTAAGGTTTTTAAGTAATTGAGTATAACCTAAAAGAGTACAAATATTGAAAAGTTCAGCAAAAGAGGGCACACTGTCTCTCACAGGATCCTTCTGGACAAAACGTCCAGCATACAGTGGATAAACATGTTACACAATGGATGAGCAATTGGCTCACAGGTCTGTTACAAAGAGTTATAGTGAATGGGGTAACATCAGGCTGGCATCCAGGCACTAGTGGGGTTCTTCAGGGCTTCATCCTCAGCCCAGTTCTCTTCAACATCTTCATTAACGGCTTGGATGCAGAACTTGAAGGAATATTAAGAAAATTTGCTGATGACAAATTGGGAGGAGCCATCAACTCCCTCTAGGGCAGAGAGGCCTTGCAGAGAGACCTTGACAATAAGAGAGATGGACAATCACCAGTGATATGAAGTTTAATGAGGGCAAGTGCCAGATTCTGCACCTGGGACAGGGCAACTCTGTTTGTGTGTATAGATGAGGGAATGAGAGTCTGGAGGGAAGCACTGTGGAAAGGGACCTGGAGGTCCTGATTGACAGCAAGTTGAATATGAGTCAGCAGTGCCTCTTCAGCCAGGAGGGCCAACCATGCCCTGGGGGGCATCAGGCAAAGCATCACCAGCCAGTTGAGGGAGGGGATTGTCCTGCTTTGCTCTGCACTGGTGTGGCCTCACCTTGAATATTGTGTGCAGTTTTGGGCACCACAATATAAGAAAGACTTTAAGTTATTAGAGAGTGTCTAAAGGAGGGCAACAAAGATGGTGAAGGGTCTGGAGGGGAAGTAGTATGAGGAGTGGCTGAGGTCACTTGGTCTGTTCAGCCTGAAGAAGAGGAGACTGAGGGGAGACCTCATTGTGGTCTTCAACATCCTCACAAGGGGAACCAGAGGGGCAGGTACTGACCTCTTCGTTCTGGTGAACAGTGACAGGTCTTGAGGAAACAGCATCAAACTGAGTCAGGGGAGATTTAGATTGGATATCAGCAAAAAGTTTTTCACCTAGAGGGTGGTTGGGCACTGGAACAGGCTCCCCAAGGAAGTGGTCACAGCACCAAGCTTATCTGAGTTCAAGAAGTGTTTGGACAATGCACTCAGGCACATGGTGTGACTCTTGGGGTGTCCTGTGCAGGACCAAGAGTTAGACTTGATCCTGATGTGTCCCTTCCAACTCAACATATTCTATGATTCTATGATATTTTTAATACTCATATGTCTCCATTATTCATGGTAGGATTACCATTTTTATAGACTTACTATGTCACAAACAAAGGTATTTATGCCACTCCTGTGCAGCCAAAAATGCATTCAGGAGAGCTTTCTAACTTCTGCATGCAGTATGAGGAAGCAGATATACTGCTGCCAGAACCCACTGATGTCTGGAAGCAGTGATATTATCTCCAGATTTCTTTTCTCTAGCATATCTTAGCTCCATATTATTTTATTTTAATAAAGTTGTCTCTTCATTACTATTTAAGCGCTGTATTAGGTAGATTATTCTGTTCAGAGGGCAATTAAAATGGAGTGTAGTGTTTCAAACAAAACCAGCAGTAATCTCTAATATCAATAACTTCTCTTTGGCAGACCCCTTGCTGTGCTCTGGGAACTGTAAACACAAGCTAAATGTAGAGGTAGTACAGAGCAGGAAGATCTTGGAAATAAAGTGGAAGAATAGTGATTTCCAGTGCTGACCATGTAACTGGGGCTATTTCCTGTACCACATTATGGCAGGTCACTGTTCTCCCATATTGTTCCTTTCTGTTCCCCATAGGTAGAATAACAATGCAATTTACGTAGGAACTACATTTCTAATTTCAGAACTTACCTCAGCTGTCTGGACTGCGGTGTCACCTTTTGCACCCAGGTGGACCATAGCAAGAGCAGTTGCAATACTCCAAGGAGAAAAGAAAATGTTTTGTCCTTTGGAATTTTCGTTCAGCTTTTTGTAAAGGTCCAGAGTGAAGCTGTTGGTTGACACTGAGACTCCATTGATACACCTGAGACAAATGAGTGTCAGAGAGAGGTGATGACTACTTCTTCATGTCTGTCAAAGAATACAAAGCTGTTATTGGGGGATTACCTGCTCCCTCTCAAATACAGTCTGAGGGTGTCCCTGTAATGGGTAAAATACTGCACAGATGCCAAGTACAGTCAGCTAATAGGTCTCTTTCTAAGACCTGCATTATTTCTTCCTTCCACATAACTTTCAGTGTCCTCAGCTTTTTTATTTATTCTTTGTCAGTTGAGTACAGTTTTAGTGAGAAATTTTTTCACAGTCCAGACTTGTTTCAAAACCCCATTCACTCTTTACTTAATTTTCATAGAGTTATTCTTCGATTCTGAGAGAGTGAAACAAAATAGTTTCTCACTGTGCTGCTTTGGGCTTTTTTCTGTTTATTTAAACTTCCTGTGCTATTATTTTCCACTGAAAAAAGCATGGTGAATTAATGTGATTCACTATATGTATCCTGATGGCTACTAGAGATATGTAGATTTTTATACATTCTTGGTGTAGGTAAACCCACATTTGGAATCTGTAGCTGGATTTGTTAATTGCTGTTTTTCAAGTCTTGTAGCTTACATAGAACTCCAAATAGTTCCTGTTGTAACCAACAACAAATTTTCTCTGGTTTCCTGGTAGTTTATCAGAATCTGCAGGTTTCCCATCCTTGTTCTGCTTCTTTTCTAAGTATGTTTTTACAGGACAAAACCAAAGCAAACACATAACCACAACCCCAGGATTAAACTAATTTTCTGTAATGGATCCAGAACAAACCTGTGCTTCTTATTAGCATATTTTAGATCAATCTAATACTTACATAAATATTAGGATAAAATCAGAAATTTCCACTGTCTTCACCAGCATAATGACTAAAAACATATGGTGAAGTCAGTGCAAAATGGCATCAGGTGAAAGGTTAAGCATTAGATCAACAATGGCAACCGGACATTTAAATCTATCTTCACCCACAATTTGTGTGATTAAATCAAAAACTGCAGTCCTTAAAGAGAACTGCCACAAAGTGTCAGAGATGCCTGGAACCCCTGGGGTCCTCAAGATTTGTTTTCAAAGCTTCCTAGAATCTGCAACAGCTTTGAAGCATTCTTCAGAGGTGAATGCCATGCAGCCTATCTCATGCCCAAGTATTTTTAGGATCTTCAAATGTGATATCTTACTGCTGTTCCTGGAGATGCTGATACTCCCAGAGCATATCCAGGGGACAGGGCTGAGCTGAATATTTTTATGTGAAGGATTTCAAAGTGACATCTCCTTCTCCTGTTCCCAGAGAGTGTCTGGGGAGCTATCAAGTATTTCTCAGGCTTGTATCTCTGCGAGGTTCCCTGGTCTCCTAACTGGTCTCCAAAGTCTCCTAACTTTGGTCTTCTGGCAAAAGAAAGGTCTGGATCCTTGATTCAGTAGTTATTTGAAAGTAATAAATTAGAGGCTTGAACTAATATACCCAGTGCTGGGCATCCAAAACACTGTTCTAGAGAGTCATGTTGTCTTGTGTGTTCAATTCTATCATCAGTAGGAGGGTGTTCTCTCCTGGAGTTTGTTCTCAGTCCTCTGATCTAAACTGACCAGTAGCCTGGTGATTAAAGCACCCTTGCTACAGGTGAGGAAACTTTCTGCCCTCCCAGGCTATGTAGGTTTTGCCCAACCTCGATTTGCATTCTGTCCATTGTGCCTCGGCACAGGTTTCCCTAAGGGCTACACTTTGTACTAAATAATAAGCACTCCCTTCCTCTGCATAACTTCTATGCCATCTTTTAACTGCTCCATTCCAAAGAATTTGACATGAATTTTTAAGACCTCCAAATAAGAGCTAGTAATTTTGATATAAATATTTACACTACCTGAAATCCTGAGAGAGAGAAGGGTTAAGATCTGTCTTCAGTCAGGATCTGTGACAGTCTGTGGGGCAACGAGTACTTTTGGAAATGAAGAAATGTTTGCACCTCCATTTTCTTATCTACATCCTCTTCTTGCATTAATGTGCACATTCTCTCATTTATTCCTAGTCCTCTCTATCACCTGCTTTCAGAACTCAGAAAGAGGGGGAGACCTCCTGAATTCAAGGCCACTGTTCATGGATGTATATCCTGGAACGTGAAGGCCAGTATGCCTTTTCCCCACAGATGTCCTCCACAACCTTGGTGTTTGGCCTGCAAAAAGTGTAGGAATTGCAGAAAGTATATCAACCACTCTGTGTTGGCACAAGATATGTTGAAATAACTTCAGGGCTTCCTTTTCTTTTTACTCAACAAACTGGGGAAATAAATAGAAACTGATCTCAAAGCTATGGCTAAAAGGGAATATTGAAATAGACTGTTGGTCTCATTCATCCTGTGGTTAGATTTGAGAGGGAAAGCATTTGAATTCTTGTGGCACTCAGGTCAAATAAAGCCCTTACTTTTTACAGGGATATTTTACTCTTCTGTTACAGAAAGCAGATCACAAAGGAAGCTCAGAAGATATTTACACAGTCACCTAAAATAAGTGATGAAATGAGAGTGAACACTGGGCTCATTTGAAATGGTGGATGTTGTTTTAAGAGACCGCTGCTCCTCACAAAGGAGGTGAAGGTGCTTTAGATACCTACAGGCCCTACACTGTACTGAGCTCATTATTCCTGTCTGATGGATTGAGGGATTTTGAATCATCCACCAAAAACTGCAAAACTGCTCGAAAGTGTTGCTTGTAATGACTTTTACAGAAACTGATGTCTAGGAGTAGAGAGCAAAAACAGTGTAAAACTGGATATCAGCAAAGGTGAAATATAAAAGACTTACATGTGCACAAATGTTTTACTTTAAATTGGTGTAATTCTGATCCTAGTTTGTGTGACTTACACTAAGTTGTGTTGATAAATTTCATTTGTGATCATTATATGTCTTTTCTGCTACATTTAGGGTTAGTAATGGCCTCTGCCCACTAGTATGACAAATGCAAAATAAACCAATTACCATGCAGTCAACCTATATGGAAAAAGCATCTATGTAAAGTGTACAAGTCCATATTTTGAATAAGAATTATATATTAGTGCTTCTATTCACTTGAAATTTGACTGGTACATATACCACACAAGGTTTCAAGAGGGATATACGTGCCTCTCTTTCTTCCTATCTTTTGGTTTTAAGTGTGTGCAGGAATATCCTCTTAATTTCTTACTTCAGAAACATATTAGACACTATTATATTTAGTTATGAGCCTCAGAAATGTTCTGCTATGTATCTTAAGCTGCTGTTGTTTATTTTTTAGATAGAGTAATAGGAGAAGAAAAAAACCCAAGCAGTTAGTGGTACTATAAGCTGGAAAGATTGGCCAAAAATACAGGAAAATGAAGAAAGGGTACCCAAATTGTGTAGACACTCTTTGTGGTATGTACCAGTTGCTACAAGATCCTTTTTAGTAATTGGGGTTACAAAGGGGAGCACATTAGCCAAAGAAGAACTGCTCTTCGTTTTGCTGTGCCAGATTAAAACAGTGAGATAAATTAGTTAATTGATACAGGCAGAATGATAGAAACAAGGTTTCACAGCATCACAACACCTGACCTGTTGACCTCAAGTGGATTGACCTCCTACAAATGGTCATAAAAAAGTCTTTTGATAAAACTGGTCGTTTTCCTCTGGCATATGGTGAAGTAATTCTGGTCTGTTTTGAAG